AACAGTTCAGAGTTATTATGTGATCAGAGACATTAATTATACATTGAATAATTTTTCAATATTGTAGAATCAAAATTTTCAACTGTGTGATGACATATGCTGACAGTGATACTGTATCTTTCATAAAACCATACTTTTACTGTATGTGTGTACAATTCTGTGTATGTTGTCTACATTTTTGAAAAAGAAATCCTGAAAGCCATTTTCTTTTGTACACCTTTATTAATGTTTTTGATTTCATGGCACTAGGCAGAAAATACTGGGTAAAACTCAAAACAGAATCCAAGGCAAAACAAGAAATGAAGACACCATAAATACTTGATGTTTTGTCTGCCAATTCCCCTGATTTAAAAAAAAACTAATATTTTATTTTTTCATACGGGCAGAATGCTATGTTTCAAAATAGTTAGAATAGAAGTCACCAATATTCTTCTTACCTATATGTCAACATCTCAGTTTGGTTTTTCACGTGTGTTTTTATGAATGAGATAAACGATTAAAAAAAAAATTCTAAACGGGCAAATTAAGCATTAAAAACAAAAACACTCAAAAAGCACCAGCAGTCCCAGGCTGAAGATCACTGCAAACAGTCCATTGTGCTGCATCGCCTCTGATCCAGAGAAAGGAGTGCCTGTATAAGGCGGAGGATGACAAACAAGTCAAGTCGTCAGACATTTAACAAGTCATTTGACACTAATGTAACAGTAGACTAGAATAGTAGAATAGTACCTTTAACTTCTACCATCTTGGTGGCCTCAGCAAAGCGACCAGCTGCTGCATTTTTTGCAACGCAGGTGAAGTTTTGGAAAGTACCGGGTATGGAGGGAGTCCACTTGAGTTCATTTTCATGGACTGAAAAGTAAGTTCCAATGGGGAAACCACCCCGGAACTCCCATTGGACAATACAGTCCACATTTAAGGTACAGCTCGTCAAGCATGTGAATTTACTCAGTGTGCCAGGAAACACAATGTCAGGTCCGCTGATGCTGACGTTCCATGGATCAACTACAAAAGATTAGAAAGTTCATATAAGTATGCAAATATAAATTTTCTCCCTTGCTTCCTTAAACCATTCTTCACTTCACGAAAAAACTTACAACTGAGAAAATAGCCCAGGCTGAAAACGCGTGACTGTCCTATAGAAGTCTCACACTGGTAGAATCCAGCATCAGAGGGCAGCAGTGAGTCAAAGTGAAGTGAAGTGTTGTGCAGCAGCTTCATATTTTCACGCAGGGTCACTTTCTGTCCATCTTTGTACCAGACCACCTTGTTCACCACGTGTGATGGGCCTGAAATGTCACCATATCTAGAATCATGGCAGATCAGTTCCAGTGGCTGGTTGAGAGATGGGAGGGTGTTTGGTGGATTGATTTGCACTGACACTAGATCTGCAACAAAGAACACCAGATAGAGGGGATTTCCAAATCATGAAGGAAAGAAGCACATATGGCAGGGATTTAGGGGAACACACATGATATGCCACTCTGCATCTTATGCATTTAATAATAGATTCAGTACATCTTTGACACAGCTGCAGCACTGAAAGAACTGAGATGTTTGCCACTCTTGGAAACTGCTAACAGCTAATTTTGTAACATGTAGCAATACCTGTCAAATAAATGGAATAGAGTAAAAGTCCAAAGTACCATATTTTCCTCTGAAATGTAGTGAAGTAGAAGTATAAAGTAGCTTTAAATGCATATACACAAGTAAAGTACAGTACAATTTTTTCCCACTACTGCACAATTGGAATAGCAATGAACCCGCTGTACTTACTCTCAATTTCTACAATGGAGGTCATACTGCTGGACTCTCCTGTTTCTTGATTTAGCACACTGCACTGTAATTCCACTGTTCTGTCCAGTCCATCTGGTGTCCAGGTTAATGTTTTGCCGATGACCGTACGGCCCTTAAAAGACCATGTGTAGATGCAGTTTGGGACGCAGGAAGAGGAACAGTTGAAAGTGGTACTCAAACCTGCTGTCACCTTACCGTACCAGACAATCTGCTCCCAGGCATCCAAACCTGGTGCACCTGAGAGAGAGGAGGAGTCAGTATGACTAAATCAGATGATGTGTGATGTAGTTTCCTTTTCATTTTTATCCGTTGACACATGAGTTATTAAAGCTTTGTACTCTGGTTGGTATAACAATGCCTGCCCATGAAGCTATAATACTATAACTATTAGTTATCTTACTATTGTGATTTCTAGGCAAGTCTGCAAAGTCACACTTACATTTAATTTATTTTATTTATTCTGTGGCCTTGCTGCCATGTCAGTATTCCTGGTTCTGTAAAGAGCCATGGAATTATTAGCTGCAGGATTTTAAGGTTATTGGTAAAAAATAAAGATGTCCTTAGAACAAATTTCACTGTGTCTTTTACTGTGTTTTCTAACATGCAGTATGTTGTATTTTTATGTTTCCTTTCTTTTGTGAAGACACCACTGCCATGTTTGTGTGTATTTTAACCATATTATCAGCATATTACTTTTCAGTACTTTTCAGTACAGTATTTCTTTGTAATTTAACCACCCATAAATCTTGTCCATTGTGTCTGAAACAGGCAAACAAATCCAGGCAGAGAGTAAGTAAAATCTAATCCAAATATAGGGAACAAGTCAATGTCCGGTTTGTGTACTCTTTGCCAGACACCTCACTTTTTTCTGCTTCATGAGTTCATCGCTCTTCAGCAATTCCTAATATTTGGATCTATGGTGTTTGGACTTTGACTAATTCCTTATATTTGGATAGGATTTTACTTACTCCCTGCCTGGATTTGTTTGCCTGTTTCGGACTGACTCTATGTGTGTGACTGCCTGGCTAACCAATAAAGTCAAACTATACCCTGTGTCTTGTGCTTCTCTCTGCACCCCCCTCCACCCCAGTAGGCCTTTACATTACTCATATCACTTAATATGAGTAAAAAAGCTATTTCACAGATGTTTCACAGCAGTGTGTCAAGGCTAGTCTGATCCTCAATTACATCATTGAATCTGATGATTAAAATCCTTACATACAGTAGGATACATGAAGAGCATATTCAGTTTATTAGGACAATCAACAAATTTACAATTACCACAGAGATGAATGTTTTTCAGCCTCAAACTAAACCATCTAACTGCTTTATTATTGTATTATATTAGTTTTTATTTTTTATGAATCTCTGGAGTAACAATATGTGTAAAAATCTGCAGTCGGTAAATTAAGTGCTCTTACCCATCAATGCCACCAGCAAAACACAGTAAAGATTCTTCCAGTAGGGTATCATAGTTACATCTCTCATGGCTGTCTCCACTGCGGGTTTCCAGTACATACTCTTTTTATACCAACTCATCTTCTAAACCTATTACTAAAATATTGTTCATTTCAGACACTCCCAAATTTCACACCATCATCTTCTTCAAATCCAGAATTTACTTAATGACGAAATCAATGCAATGAGCAAAGGAAACTTCCCTGAAACATGACAGGAAATTACATTATCATTACAGTACAAAGGTTAGGTCAGTTTAGGCCACTATTGCAAGTTGTGGTGGGATGTGAGGTGTGCTTTTGTTTTTATAAATATGGATTACTCTAAATCTGGAGATTAAACAGTGACAAGATAAAGAAAAACAGTTGTGCTGAAGTTGCACAATTATTCTGAACAGTTTTGTCAGAGCATTGCATAAAACACTAGATGGCACTGTTTCACAGCAGTTTGTCATTATGTGTAGTTCCCACCTCTTTTTGAGGAAGATGTACAGCAAATGGTCTGAATTGTATATTATTACTACAATAACCTCTAAGCGGAAACTACACAGACACTGTCATTATGTATCCTCAGTGTTGTAAATTCAAATGTAAAGTACACACTAAGACCAGTCAGTAAATAAAATCTGTCAGTATTCTGTGTCCAAACATGAGGGGCTTTTTGGTGAAAGACTTTCAAAACAGTAAAGGTTGTGAAAACGCTTTTTGGTGAAAGGCTTCCAAAACAGTAATGGTTGTGAAAACGTTTAAAAGTAGCCTTCCTTTTAACTTTGATTAAGACGTTAAAGGTCATGAAAAATACCTTGATTCATGGCTTTAGTTTGTTGACACCTTTCCTGATTTTAGTGCACTGTTGTTTGAGTAGATTTACTGCTGCAGTGACGTTGGCAGAGCAACGTATTTGGTCACACTGAACTTTGAATACATTGCTGTAATTAAAATGCAGTGTCATTCCTGGAAATGGATTTCATTTTGTACAATATTTTCCTCTTAAACTCCTTCCTTCTCCTCTGTTCTTTTTTATGAGATATTCTCTATTCATTTTCTTTTTAATTTACACTTTTGAGTAAGCAAGCATGAAAGCAACCTTTACCATTGTGCTTGGATGAATGGTGAAATCATCATTTGCTAAAAGAGAAGAAGAAGAGGTGTTTTTATAATTTCCTCTAACTATCTTCCTCAAACTACTCAAACTATTTAACTATTTTAATGACACAGCGAATGCCAATATTAAAAAGACTGTATCATTACCCTGCACTAAGTAGGATAATTTTCCTATTGTAGCCGTAGATACCTTTACTGAACTTCCCCTGCATTTATGGTTACCTATTAACCATTGCAAATGACATACACCCACAAGCTATTGTGCCACCTGATTCTTTGCACTTTCACTGTATTTATGGGAAGTGCCATATACGCTGTAAATATGAAAACAAGAGAAATAATGAGACTCTTTGCCTTCAAGCACCAAAGAAAAAGAGATAACATGTGCAATGTCTGCATAAGCACAAATGTCACTAAATGCTCTACATAGTTAATGAAAAAATAGTTTATTAATCTGAACGAACAATTGCAAATACAATATCTCCAACATGAGAGTCACATTCATTGCATTCTTTCTTTGGTCAAACTGGTAAAACAATTCAAAAATTCCATTGGGTGCCAAGTGACACTTAAAGAAAAAGCTATGTTCAGTTTTGAACAGTTGAAAGAAGAGTGGACAGAGGTTAATGGTAAACAAAGAGATCCCTAAATGTGTAAATCCATTTGAAAGGCAAAACCTAAACTCCTTAAAACCTTTGTAAGGGGTACATAATTTTCCCCTTATGTACACCTTAATTAGATTAATGTAATATGTATTCTCTATTATGACTCTTTACACATCAAATCTGCATAGCAACAACAGCCCATTTCATGGGAAAGTAGACAAATAAACACAAATACACCAATCACAGACTTGGTATTTCTTTTGTCATTGGTCACTTCCAGACCGGTCAGCTATAAAGTGGCCGATTCATAACTCCATAGTATAGCAGTGAAAAATTCCTAAAAGGTGTGGTTGTGTTGCTCTAGTGAAATACAAAATAGTACAAACCTAAGTGACTAGAAACTAAGATGCGACTTACTTAGATGTGAAGAAATTGCCGTTGCAGAAGAAATCATAGTCATATTGTCATCTGGAAAGCAGCTTTTCATGTCAGCTACAGTTTGCCCCTGAATGTTCACCTTCATTGAAAAGTAAAGGCCTATTAAGGTATAAATTAAGGAGTAGTTTTCATGTTTTTTAACAGTTTTTAACCCTACAACCCTTTTAAAAAGAGCATATAATCTAGTAAAAGTACCTTAATATATACAGCCCATTAATTTACAAATTAATTATTCCCTTAAAATCTCTTTAAATATACCTTCATTTAATCATTATTAATAGGTAAACTACAGGTAAAGAATTAATTTATTCGTTGTCATAGTGATTAAGGTGTGGTGTTTCAATGCAGGTGAAATCAACTGTGTGAAAAACTCACAGGGAGTTTGAGCTTTACTCATGAGTAACTTATGGGGGAAGGGAAATTTGGCCAAACACTCAGATTCACTCACAGATTCATTAGCTCAGGTTGGAAGAGGTTGGTTCATTCTCTTTATCTCATTTATTTTGAACCTATCATCGTTTTAAAAAAGAGAGAACATGTAAAATATAACTTGCAGGTTTGTATAACAAAAGAGCAAAAAAGTTAGCCCTGGTTTCACTTTTTTGAATGACTTCCCTGTTGGCATGAGGCCTTTCACAGAAATATGCTGACAGTGTAAGCTCCTCATTGTAACACATAGCAACGTTTAGTGACATTTACCATAAACTTTCCTGAATTACTCCTGATCATCACTTGCGGGAAAAGATTTTGATATTTCTTACAGGCCACAGTTTCTTAAGACTTAATAAGACTTAATGCATTTATTGTACCTGCAGATATCCATCTAATAACTATGTTTGACTATCAGCTATTGCTTCTTCTTCTGTTTCATGTGGAACTGAATCTCTAGTTATAGTTTACTTTTGCAAGCCAGTGTTTTGGATCATTATGCCTATAGATCTCCACTTTGTGAGATCCTGAACTTTATCAGTATGGAATTAAATTACAAAGGTGTATATCTCTATTAAGCTTTAAGCTGTTCCTTTGGAATAAAAGATTAAAGTTCATTATTGTAATGACAAATCAACAATCTCCAGTGATGTAGTGTCAATGTAGTATCCCTGTCCTGCGAAATACCACTTAGTTAAAGTAAACTTTTCATTTTCTAAGACGTAAAATGAATATTAAACAAATTCATAACTAAAAAGCTGCAAACTGCAATCTCAATTGAAATCATACAGCAAACATGTGGATTCAAATTTATCACAATACCAGTATCAAACAGTAGGCTCAAACAAAAAACGGAATCACATATATATATTTCCACTCAGATAGGTGCACTTTGCATTTACTGTACACATACAAAAAAAGGGATAGGAAAGATATTAAATATAGTGCATTTCATCTAATTGGGCATCATTGTGTCTTCTGACTCTAGTCACTGGAATAATTGTCACGAACTGGTTGATGATTAAACACTGACAAAGTGCTTTGACTAGTTAAACTCAAGTCCAAATTAGTCCTCTATAAAAGGAACTGAGAGGAGGTGCAGGTTTCTCTACTGCAGTGGTTCTCAATCTAGTTTTATTTCTGTCGCCCGTATTGTTACGGATATAAAAATGAACTCCACTTTTGCTGGGATGGTGGGCGCATGAACTGTTTTTTGCTTCTGAGGGGCATGACAGAAACATTTTGAGAACCAGTGCTCTAACCGCATGTCAGCTGTTTGTGGTTTCCACTCTAACCTGAACAGCATATCCACTGCGGTCACTTCTTGTGAACCTGAGAATAAAGTTGTGTGCAATTAGCATAAGGTTGAGGAGCTGGACTCTTCATCCGCTGCAAGTGGACATCATAGGAAGGGGGAGAAGATGCTGCAGGAGGATTGTTGTTCACGTTGACCTGAGCGTATTCTGATGTCTTATTCTGTAATCCCAGCTGGACTGTCCCACCATCTTTGTTATGAAACCTGATATCTGCATAGTTCAGCTCCTAGAAACAAAAATGAGGGGAGTGAGAAAGATATTAAATCTCTTTTTGATTCAAAGTTAAGAGAATCTGATCATCTCTAAAATCTAACATTTACAGTTATGTGACATTAGATAAAATATCAACAAATATCAGATTAATATTGCCAAAACAAGAATAGCCTTAAACAAGAGAGGCTATATCATATATGTTATGTTTTAGACACATATACACTTCAACTCCACTGGGTCAAGTGAATATCCTCTTCCTGGTTCAAAGTCTGATGCTGAGCACTGTGGTAAACACAGGTCCTGGATGAGTGCAAGAGGAATCCTCTTTCAATCAATCTAATCAAACCTGATCGTAAACTGGCCATTCTTATATTAAAGCACACTTTATAAATAATCTTTTCTCAGCATCTTGTATTTTCATTAGCTCATGCGATGTTGTATTTTGTGCAGATTCACATGCTACTTACTACTGTATTATTCTTGAGTATTACCCATTTCTTACTACTATTACAACTTCTACTGTTTATAATGAAGAAAGGTTAGTGCAAACTGCTGAATTGTTTGGCATTTAATAATTCTAACACTGAACAAAGGCATAATTTGTACTGTATCACATTGTGCTCTATATGTAATAAAATCATTAATTAAATATAGCTGATTTATTTATCCTTTGGATCCTCGAGTTATTGTTTACTCATGTATATAAAACATAACTCCAAAGATGATAAATCAGTCATTACTTGAAATTACATGTATTCAAATGCAAACATACATGTAAGCGGTTATATGCAATTTGCAATGGAACATGGGCATAAATTTTGAACTGAGAATCATGTAGGCATTCCCAGATTAACTGAGTAGCTTGATTTCTCTGAGTCATCTGGTTTCTCAATTGTACACACTGATGACTTTTACCTGACTTCCTGAGAATGCTGTGTTGTTCTCGCCTTTAGCTCCTTCAAAACACAGAAATAATAAACACTTAGATGAATTCAATCAAGGGAGTAAATGATACTGTATAATAATACACACATACTTGCATTACACTTACCAGTTCTGGTGGCAGTGTTTCTACTATTGGATGTTTTTGTCTGTTTTCTGATTAGAGAGATAATGAGTCATTAGTTTCTAAATTAGATATTAGACAGGTATTATCAGACTTTTGAAACATATTAATAATAATAATGATGATAACAACATTATGTGTACTTAGTAACCAGGTAAGCACTTTACGTAAGCTGCTTTTGATTACGTGAAGTCAATTTTGATGATCATAATTGTGTGTTGTTGGGAGAAACAGTAAAAATATTATGCAATTTCAGAAGCTAAAAAACCCTCTCTTTTACACTGTTGCTCCTGGTTCAGCAAAAAGAAAGGTAAGACAGGTCTAGCTCAGAGTAATTTAGCTGTCCCCATAAGTGTTTTCTCACATTCTAGCTTAACTGAATACATAAGCACAATTTCTAAAAAATTAAACAGGGCTGTGTAGCCTGCAGTACTGTAAGGATGAACACTGATGAAAATATTAGTTTTGGACAAGAGAGTCAGAGTCGAAGGTAAAGTCAGGCTTAGGACTATATAGACAATATACATATTTTGAGACAAGCAAAAGCATCCTAACACTCCCTCCCACCCTGCAGCAATCTCTGTGTTATGACTAAAACGGAATTAATTGATTCTTAATAATTAAAAAATGGCTTCCTGGTTCTATCTTAAAGCTTTTTCCCACTTACTTTTTTCGATAAATGTAGTACCCTCCACCAGCACCTGCTCCACAGATGACTAAACATGCAATTACTATTCCAGCGATGCAACCAGCCGAACAAGGTGATGTTTTGACAGCTAAAATAAAAAAAGGGGACAAGAACATGATTTTACACCATTCTGTAGACAGGAACTATAGTGGATACAAAGCATACAATAATTTCTCCCTTTCTGTAATTTCACAGTGCATCACTTATGAATATCTATTTTTTCATTTTAAGAGTATGCCTTAACGTCTCCTTTAGCTGGAGAACATTATTGTTTGGCAGAAAGGCTGATTTTGCTTTAGTAAACATGCTATCACATTTATGCTTTGCTTAAACGGGAACTCTTTGTGTCCCTATTGTGACTTCAGATGAAGGTGCATAAAAACAGATAAATTGCCTTAAGTGATGTCACCTGAGTCAGGGGGGACTTAATAAGACTTTATGCATGAGTCTGGGGATGTGGTGTTAAAAGGGCTTACTAGACCTCTGCACCCTGCTCCCCACCTCTGCTTGAGGCTACTCTTAGTGACAATAGGAACTAGCATAAAAAATCCAAATATCTGACCAAAATTTGGACAGTTGAGTTGCACTTTGGGTGATTTTGTGTGGTTTTCATACTGTTTTTTGAATTGTCCTTCAAGAGTTCCACAATGTTAAACTGCAGAAGTGAAATGCAACATTTTTTTGTAATCTTTTAAAGGTGGACGAAGCGATTCTAATCCAACAAAATGACAAATGCCATGATATAGAGTGAACAACCACACATCAAGTTTTGTAACTAATGTTAGTGAACTGTTGCTACAGTTGCTGCTACAACGCCAACATGCAGAAAGGACAAGACAGTCCCAGAGTCAGCAAAACAGCTTCAAACAGCAATACTCACAAATTTCCTGCTATTATAGCTAACATCCCAACAGAAGCAGCCAGTCACAAATCATGGCTAAATTGGATGGAATAGTGTTGTGTGGTTGGGTGACGGCCACTTTATTTGTTTCCTGTTTACAGATCCAGGGCTGAGTTCAAACACTGTTTTGTTTTTCGGCGCACGCACATAAAAAACAGCTAGCAGACTGTGAGGAGATATTTGCTGAATTTGACAAAAAGACGTGTATTGGATTAAAATTGCTCACCCCACCTTTAATGCCAATAAAGTGGAGTTTTTCTAAAATAAATCTTACTCTTAATCTTAGACTTACAAGCTACTCTTGATATCATCAGAAATATAACATTGTGGAATAAAGTGGTCAACATCCAAGAGCATCAACAAAAAGCAATCAACTCCATCTTATTACCTGTTACAGACAACTGGTGGACCGCTGATGATGATGTTCTTCCAGTTACATTATTCATTGCTTCACAGATGTAGTTGCCACTGTCAGAAAGTTCAGTGATGTCTTTAGCAAACACAGAAGAGTTGTGTATCTCAGTCCCATTCAGTGTCCAGGTGTAACTAGCAGATGGTGTGGACTCAGCAGAGCAGGTTAATGTTAAGTTCTGTTCAATATAGATCTCATTTGGACCTGTGATTTGAACATTTTCTGGTCCATCTGAAAAAAACATAGTTGTAAAGTTCTTACAGCAGCACAAATAATAACTATGAAATAAAGAATATGAAACTTGTGTTACATGCTGACAAACCAAAACCAGTCGCACACAGTTATTTATGGCAGTCATCATTTTGAACAGTAAATGTACATTGTACAGTGTGTTACCTACAGTTAACAACCACGGTGTATGTAGCTTCCTCAGTGTTGATTGGGTTGCTGATTTTACAGGAATATTCTCCACTGTCTTTTTTATTCAGACTGATAAAAGACAGCACTCTGTTGTTATCGTGAAGTATCATGTTGTCAGTCAGAGTCAGATTTGAGCCGTCCTTCACCCACTTTCTGGTAAAGACAGTGCCAGCTGCGTCACAGGTTAGGTTGACAGAGCTCCCCTCAATCGGCATGTTTGTTGATGATTTGACAGAAGCACCTGATATTCTCTCTGTAGAACAAAACATCACAGAATTTGTGTGAAAACATGAACAACTGACTGTTACTGTGTTACTATGGGGTTGATTGGGTGAGTAAATAAATATAATACCATTGTGAAGGAGCAAACATTACAAAAAAATCTTTAACAATTGAATTAAGTCGACAGTTGCAAGAGTCGTGATCTTTGCCAGGTAACATGCTCTCCATTTGTTCAAATGTTATTGTTTCAAAGTTTTGACCACAAGTCATAATAGAGCATGAAATCCTTAAACCTGAAATAAAGTTTTTTGCCTCATGGAATCAGTGGAAAAAAGCTGTAAACACAACATTGACACATAATTATTGTTGATAAGTTGATACAACTTTCTTTGGATACCAGTGACCTGGATGACTGAGAACCTTCACAGACATACAGCAAACTTGTTAGTAAACAGTTGCCTATTTTTTAGGTTACACATTTAAGGAGATAGATGAGTAACTTGTATCACATGATCGTAGCATGTAATCTTCTGCTGTTGACGTCATTTCCACATTTCAAAAAACCCTAACTGTTCTAATTAGATGTAAGTGCTTTATGACTTTTACCGACCTGTAAGAATAAATGAACAAGGATGAGTTGGCTGGCCCTCAGTGGATAAATAAGAAGAACCAGCTCAAGCCCATCGCTTTAGGGGCCTACACTGGGTTCTCTCCTAAGTTCTCTCCTAGGTTAGGGTGCAAAGTCGAGGCTTAGTAACTACTTAGTTAGTTTGTAACAAATTAGCTACTAAAATTGGTTGCACCACAATTACTTGGGGCAGAACCTAACTAGTTTTGATGTAAAGTCATAACTATTGCGAGTGGCCAATCAGAGATCCTAGATTCCATCATTATAGTTTTGTGCACATTAGCTTTCTTGCTGGTATGAGCCACATGGCATCATAGCACATCGTAATAATTTGATTATCAATAAATAAGGGCTCTGCTGGATTGCAGTGTTGCATAATTGTATGCAATTTATAAAAAAATGATGCTGTGTGGCAGAAAAACTGCAGTTTAACAATTGCTGAACTTTATTCTGTGACATTTAATGATTTACACCTACCCTGGGCTATGTGTAACTATCTAGTTGTTACTTTCAGAGTACAGTTGTAACTTATTAATTTAAGAAATGCATAAATAATGAACCAAGCGGTATCCATCACCTTGATAATGACCCCACAGAGGTTAAATGGCTGGGATTCCCTGCTAGTCAGTCAGAACTGAAGAAGCAAAACGTATTCAACCAAGTCCATTGGATTTTAACTTTCCTTGGATTACACAAATAATGTTTTTCTTGTCTTTTGTTATTTAAGATGAAGGTAATCTGATCTGAGAGCACACTTAGCCAAACACAAATTATTTGGCGTTAAAGGTGGGGTATGTGATTCTAATCCGATACACGTCTTTTTGTCAAATACAGTAAATAGCTCAAGGTCCATAGCTGTCTGTTTAGTGTGTGTGCGCAAAAAAAACACAGCCTTGGCTCTGTAAATGGGAAATGTTTACAACTAACTATATTATCTATATTATGCATTTTAGCTTTGCAGCAGCAACTGTGGCGTAAGTTTGCTAACCCACGACTATAGCTACTTGCTGTGTCATCATTTGCTCCAAATCATGGTATTTGGTGTGATATTGGATATTTGTCCAGAATGGCAACCCCCACCTTTAACAGAATGCTAATTCCAGTACTATATCCAAATGCCACTACTGACAATAAAATGCTATCTTGTTGAATGTGCCACTACGTAAAAACCTATTCATTTCAACTTACCCAGTACAGAGACAACTGATGGCTGAGAAGTTTGATATCTCATGGTTTTTTTGTTAAAGGCCTGGCAGCTGTAGTTACCACTGTGACTCATCTGAATGTTTATCAGTGTGAGCTCTGGTCCCGTATCAGACTGCAGGTCTCCATTCAGAAACCAGTTAAACAAGGCAGAGGGTCTGGAGACAGCTGAACAGGACAGACTGGTGTTTGATCCTTCCTCAAAGTATTCTTGTGTCGGAGATATTGTGAAATAAATATTTTCTGGGCCATCTACAGTGTGTGCCGTATGGGGAGTAAAAAGCAACAACAAAGTAGTAATGTTAGCAGCTTGAAGAAAATGCTACTTAACATGCAGCTTAGCTCAGTGCGACGCCTCAGTACACCATCAAATGAAGATCAAAGATGTATCTTTGAAGCTGTATGTCCACAGCACAGAGCAAACTGCATGAATATAGTGCAAGATAAATGTTATGCACATGTAGGTTAATAACTCACAGCTGATGGTGAGGTTTACAGGATCACTTGTGCCATTACTGACAGGATTGAACACACGACACCTGAATGGTCCCTGGTCATAGCGGGTCACATGACTATAGTGAGAGTGGAGCCTCCATCTGTGAGCTGAACTCTGTCGCTGGCTGTAACCTCAGAGCTGCCGTTCAGCCAGAGGAAAGAGAGGGAGGATCCAGACGAGGAGCAGGACAAACTCATAGTACTGTTGAATTCCACCAAGTCTGTAGTGTTTGAGGTTACCACAACATTGGAAACACTTGCTGTGGGTGAAAAACACAGTGGTTTTATACTTGCCAGCTTTCTTGCCTAAAACAGGGGACAATGTTCAGTAGAGGGTAGCAACATAGAGCATGGGAATGAATCCCATTTGATACTATGAGTAATAAGGGGTGTTAAAGGTTTGTATTTGAGTTGGACATGTAGTCATGAGAATGTGGACTTGAGACTTTACATGGACTTAACATTAAAATCCTACAGCAAAAATGCAGAAATAAGACAAGGGAACACGTGTTTTGCTTTTCATAGTGCGGCTGAATTAATATAATAAATTGTTTAAATTGTTCAAATTGTTTTTTCTACATATTCAGTGTTTTTTTGAAGATAATATATGCATCACTGCAGCCACCTGACTCATAGCATACATTACTTCTGTTATGGTTCCACCGTTTATTTACTGGTGATGAGCAGGATGAGCTTAGCTGTCCAACCCATTTTGCCTGTTTGATCATTATATCTTAATGCTTTATCAGTGTTAGCTTATCTAACAGGTTTATCTTGCTTTATCTTTTAATTAGCCACAACGACATTCACTTATATACGCAAAAGTTAACTGTTAGCCCACCAATCAGACTGGATGGCAATGTCATTATCAGTCACTCCAAAAACAACTGAGATGTGAAAGACAATATAATCTGTCACCAGACTAGATTACTGCAAAGATATTACAGTTACCGAAAATACTGTGTATTTAAAGAGGTGGTATTATGCTCATTTTCAGGTTCACAATCTTATTTAGGTTTTGTACCAGAACAGGTTTACATAGTTAAATTTTTTTTTAAAACACTGTATTATTGTCATACTGCACATTGCTGCAGCTCTACTTTCACCCTGTCTGTTGAAGGCTTCGTTTCAGCTATGGAGTGATGCGTCCTGCCTCTACATGATCTTGTAGGAAGTTGCACATGCGCAGTTCCCAGTTAAGGATTACTAGCCAATCAGAAGCAGAGAAGGGCGGGTCAGTGAGAAGCCGGTGAGACAACAATGAGACCCATGCGAGCTGTGTAGTCTTGTCAAATGTTAAAAGTGAGGATAATGTTGCAGCGTGTAGGCTCATGTTAGGCTACGTATTGCCAGCCTTCAGTCACAGATAATTAGTAATATCACTAATTAATTTTACTTCAGTCACAGATGCCGACACCCTCGCCTTAATAGAGGCAATGATCAAGCTGCAGTCAGTGTTTAACACATCAACGCTGACCGCCACGTTTTCGATTATTGTTTTTACTAGGCAATGGGTAAAATTGGATTTGATCACAGAGCTGGCCTACTAGGCTATTCGCTAAGCACCCCCTTCTGTTGGGTCGTCGCTCCCCCCCCCTCCCCCCCGCCTTTCATTCTGTGGGAAACACTATGTTTACATACAATAATTGGGATTCATGTTGATGAAAATGGGTGGGCTGCCTTTTTGCTATCTTGGTTATGGAGTAATAATTCACCGTGTTGTCCACCTTTAGATGACCTGCATTAAAACAACATGGGGCGCAGTGTCAAAGATTCGCTTTTTGGAGTCCATCTTCAGAACATTGTAGTTTCATCACTGCAGGTCACGCCAGTAACATCTGCCGTCGCCTAGAAAATGGCGGTCGGATTCTCTGAGCTCCGCAGTCCTCTTTTCCTAAGTCCTTATGAATTCTCCTTCACATCTTTCCTTGACCTCATGACATTTTCCATTGAGGTCAAGGAAAGGTGGTTAGGAAAGGAGATTTTTTTTACTTTTCAGATGCAGCCACGGCTTCGGTTCAGCTGTAGCCTACATGTTGCTGACCAGCTTGACAACATAGACTGGATCAATAGTTTCAGAGTGGTGTTATTAAATCTGTAACAAAAGTATTTTTCATCCATAAATTTATAACTCTATACTCTATATCACAGTAACAACTTTGAACTTTAAATCTGCAACAAAAGTATTTTTCATCCATAAATTTATAACTGAGCTCTGTCTCACTTTATGTCCATTGACTGCCTGGAGGGTAGCTAGTGTTTGGAAGGGAGAGCAGAGGTGTGTGTGCTGCAGCTCAGTGTTTTTCCACCGGTGTTTTTGAGGGTGTATGACTAGCTGCTTGGCAAGCTTTATATGACGCACACTTTACGCTGGACTACAAACTGCTGTTTTCAGGCAGTTCAGAGCAGTGTTTTCTGTGCGAGTGGGTACTCCCTTTGGGCTGGACTTTGCAAACCTGTTACATGCACAAAAAAGCTATATAGCTCAATAAAGGAGAGGGAAAAAGCCAAAAAGCATAATACTACCTCTTTAAATAGTGATTGTTTTAACTATGATTGTCCTCAAGTTGCGTAGTAGTTATATTTTCTTGCAACAACCGTTCCTGTGCTACTGATCTTGAGTGCAAACAAATGTTTGTACTGTTTCTGTTTGTGCCACAAATGTTAGTACATCCTTTTTTATATTTAAGAAAGTTTTGCCTGATACAATTACTAGTACATCCCCAAATCCCGTCATTAAAATCCACATTTCTTTGTACAAAACTTTGTATTCAAACTTACCCAGTACAAAAACAACTGAAAGCTGAGATGTTTCATATCTGTCCGTTTTGTTGTTCAAGGCCCGACAGCTGTAGTTTCCACTCTGACTCTCCTGAATGTTCATCAGTCTGAGCTCTGGTCCAGTATCAGAAAGCAGGTCTGCATTCAGAAACCAGTTAAAGTGGGCAGCAGGTCTGGAGTCAGCTGAGCAGGACAGGATGATGTTTGAACCTTCCTCATAATATTTTTGTGTTGGAGAAAGCTTCAAATTAATATTTTCTGGGCCATCTGAATTCGGGATAAAAACAGAAAACAAATCACCAAAATGTAATGAAAAATAAAAAGGCATTCAGCTTTAGCTCGCTGTGCGGTATTCTAAGTGATTATTATGAGCAAGAAAAGAAACAGCTGTACAGTGTATTGTAACTGAACAGCCCTGCATTAAACACTTTCTATATGAAAATGACTGTATAAAGACTTAGTTGACACTGTGCTTTAGTTTGCAGTTGAACTGGATTCTGTTAGGTTGAAAATCGTATTGCTAATAAGTTGTCCAAACCATGACGGAACAAAGAAATAAACAAAAAAAAGCCACTCTTTACTAAGCTGTGACAATAATCTAAACTATCTCTGATGGTTGTATACAGATGTTGTCAGATAAAGTACTGTCATGTGGGTTAGCAACTTACAGCTGATGGTAAGGTTTACTGGATCACTAGTGCCATTACTGACAGGATTGAACACACGACACCTGAATGGTCCCTGGTCATTGCGGGTCACATTGACTATAGTGAGAGTGGAGCCTCCATCAGTGAGCTGAACTCTGTCGCTGGCTGTAACCTCAGAGCTGCCGTTCAGCCAGAGGAAAGAGAGAGAGGATCCAGAGAAGGAGCAGGACAGACGGACAGAGCTGCTGAACTCCACCAAGTCTGTGCTGCTGGCATTTACTATTACATTAAAAACTGTCTCTGTGGGTGAAAAACAAAATAGTTTTGACTCGTAATATTTGTCAAAATAACTTTTTACATCATTCAGCCCAAGCCAGAACTGTTGTAAGACCCCATCACTCATCGGAAGTTTAATCAGAAATTTGGTTTTACAGGTTGTTTATAATAATATATAATAATAGAAGTATTGCTATTTGTTTTTATCTTAGTATTGTGTAATTATTATTATGTTGTTAAGTTATAACATAATTAGATAGATCTTATTTGAAATCAATGAACACCTAAACACAATTATGTGAACAGAAAAAATATTTATTTCTCAATTGCTATAATCTCCTTTCAGCACTGAAAGAGACGCAATATGAAACATTTGCTCACCATGTACAGACAGTCTGGTGGTTCCATGCTTTTGTGCTTCTCCCTGTGGTGTAACGGTAACTCTGTATTCTCCACTGTCATTAAGAGTCAGATTCCTGAGTTCCAGAGATGCAGTAGATGTGAAATAGGTGATCCTGCCTTCATACTCTGGTCCAGTTATGTTTCCAACATTTGAAGTGATTATGTTTCTGTCACCAAAGTTCCAGCCCACTGTTATAAAGGGTTTCTCTGCTGGAGTCAGTGTTGTGGTGAACATCACCGTCCCTCCCACAGCTGCATTCAGAGGACCGTCTGGTAACAAACCAGCTCCTTTGGTTAAACCTTTAAGACACAGTTACAGGTCCGAGAATAACTAATAGTTTCAACAATATCCTTGATCGCAAAAACAGTGAGTTGAGAGCTTGACGTGAAGGTTGTTCAATCATAACCATTTGAAGCAGATTACATTTTGGCCCAGGATCTTTCCCACATTATGGAAATCAAGTCTAACAAAGTGGCGAAGTTACTAAGAGACCAGGGCCCGTATTTATCAAGCTTCTCAGAATTACTCATAAGAACACTGCTAAGAACTGACTTAAAAGTGAAAAAAATCTTGGCTCTGCTTAAAAGTTAGTTATCAAGCATCACAGTCCTAATTTGAATGAAGCGTAGGACTATATCTTAAGTGTCAGTCTTAATACTGATTTACATTTTGCGTGCCGCAAACAGGATTTTGGATGACGATGTCGCTATAGACCAATCACTGAATAGATTTCCTTATTTAAGAATATTCTCATATAAATTCACAATGAATGGTGAAATTACTAAGAGGAGTTTATATTCAACACACATTCAACAATAAGTAATTTTCAAGAGAATACATTATGATACAGGCCTACACATTAATAAATGAAAGATAAAAAAGACCCCTTCTTATTAACTGTGCGTTGTCAAAATTCTTCCTCTCCTCTACGCATGTCTCCACAGCGCCATCACAAGCCCTACAGGCAGCTCCTAATCACTTGAGAGACCTCCCTAGCTCTCTTAAATAACTGGAGAAGAAGAGTGATTCTTAGCTTTAAGAAATTTGATAACTTGCTTTTATTCTTAAGTTTAGAAGTAGGAGTAAATTTCATGAATTCTCAGCACTTAAGTCTAAAATGGCACTTTGAGAAGCTTGATAAATACGGCCCAAG